AGTGGACTGGAATTTTAACTGCCGTTTGAATATGATATGTAGCTTGCACGGCTGGTGACTGGGAGATAAGAAAGAAGACGGAAACGCAAAAATCAGCTACAAAGGTCCGAAGGTCGTCCTTGTAAAAATATTCTGGAAGATGGTAATTTTTTAAAGTCGTTGAGGAAATAAAGGTGTTATTCCTTTTCTCTTGTGCGTGGGAGAAAGAAAAACGCGGAGACCCCCACGACGAATCGAATTTTGGTGCGTCAGTTGGCGAACAAGCGTGATTTTGTGGCGTTCGCCCTTCGCGCTTTCAAAGGTTTCGCTTTCTCTACTTTGAAAAACGTAGAAAAGATTACGCCTGTTTTGCCTTATTTAAAAAGGCGAAACCGAGGAAAAATGCGGTCAGAGTCGTCGGGAAATCTGTAAAGCATGAACCATGAGCTGCTTCCTCTTGATGCCTTAAACTGTTGTGTAGCTAAACTTTTTTTGTTGTTGTCATTGTTACTCAGGGCACAAGTAAAGGAAAAACAGGGTTCTTCCCTGCTTCTTACGTACAGGTATGATTAAGCTTTTACACCCTTACACCAATATGCCTATTCTCCATACTGTTCTCTATACATTTCCTAAGAAACTGAAAAGAGAATTTGTTTAACAATCAAGGCATTCTTTCGTTGGTGATCATTTCCTTTCTTCTTTTGACCTTCATGTGTGATTCAGGGGTGATGTAAGAAGAAATTTATTCCATGGGCGTGCGTTGTTTATGAGATGGTGTGTAACTAACGAGGCGGGTGGCGCTAAGTTGGCTTGAACCATTCTCTTATCCAACAAGTGCGAGTGGAATAATTGTTTTATTAAATTTCATTAAATCCTGAACGTTTGACTACTTCAGCAAACATTTTCAGCTTCCAACACGCCGCAGGTAAGGCGACTCGGAAGATGAACCGGAACCAATCAGAATACTAGAAATACAATATTTGATTTAAGTCACAATTACCCAGAGGCGTCCCAAGCTCACATCTCGAGCAAAAGCGAAGGATTAGTTCGTGAAATTGTCACACGTTGTGTGACGCGGTGTTAGTTACGCGAGCAACCGTTGAGAATTTGAATGCGTTATAAGGAATAGTAAGAGGAACAAAATATGGTTCATTTAAAACACTAAATATTCCGAAATATGAACATTTTACACCTTAGATTAATAAAACTTACTCGTTACTTGTGTGTCCGTTATGTTTTTTGGCGATTTCTGCTGTTTTGCACTTGCTTTGCCATCACTGAGGGTCCCCCTCCATCACTGTTTTTCCAGGAAAAACAGGAAATATTTTGAAATGTTTTATTTTTAAGATGAGGACATGATTGTATTTTGTTTTAAGAGCTACCTTGTTGTCTCGATCAGATGCCCCGGTGTATTGATAAGGCCGACGTTTAGTCTCATCTCTCATCAACTTTTGTCTTTTCTAATCTTTACAGCTGTTATGTGTGCAGAGAGTATTCGTTTTGACTGCCCAATCTTCGAGCCACTACTTTTTAAATTTTGAGTGTTTTATTTCTAAAATAAGAGCGTATTTTTGTGTTTCTTCTCAATAGCTACCTTGTTTTCTCGATTAAACGCCCTCGACGTATTTCCAAGGCTGACGTGCAATCCATTTCTCATCAATCTTTGTTTACTAGTCGTCTTTGCAGCTGTCATCTGTCCTACTTTTCGCGTAAATTTGTTTCGCAATCTCTATATAGTAATTTTTTTTACTTGCGCAATACCCAACTTTAACGCCTAACGGTTTGTTGCTTCGCTTTGACTTCATTGCAGGTGATTTCTGCCACTGACGTCATTCTTCGATGCCTGTTTGATTTCACTGGTCAAGAAGGAGATGAGTTGACAATTCAGGCTAATCAGGTCAGCGGTGATATATTTTGTTTGTTTGTTTTTGGCATGCACTTGTCAATCGAGATGAACAAGCGTATGGAGGCTACGGTTAAAGTCGATGGTATCTGAAGAAGAGCGCACTTACCCCCCTCCCCTCCTCCCCTAACCCAACAAAAGTGAACTCATAACAAGTAGTTAGGGTTAGTATTGGGTTAGGGGAGGGGTGGGGGCACACTTGCTCGGCTACTGACGTTTATCCGGGGTCACGTAGCACGATTTTTTTTTTTACCTTTTCACTCCCAAGATCTTATTTCTAATTCTCCTTACTGTCTGCTATATAATTCTTATGGTGTTAGTTTGAAGAATTTGGTATTGGATCAATCAATAATCCCCTCATTGATATTGAACAATTATTCGCCGAAGACGAGGTTAATATCGTCGAATAATCCCCGAGACGGTTATTCGACAATATTCACCGAACCTGAGGCGAATAATTGTTTTAGTATAATTTCAGAGCTGAACAACAGAGGAATTTCTAAAATCATAACATTTTGGTAACATTTATTAACATTTTATTTTAACATTTTATATAAACCGCGTGGCGCTCGACCAATCAGATTGCTGGAAACTCTCATCTCTGAAATTATACTAATTTTCTTTATTCTCATAACTTGTCTACTTGATATTGTATTCATACGGAAAGGAGAAATTCTGTCTTGATCACTCATGAGAGTTAAAAGGTTAGGTATGTGTCTATAGGACCTCGTACACAGTTCCAGGAATCTATATTCTACTGGGAAATTTAGTGATCACCCTAATCATGGCTTAGTTTATTTCTTTGACTAAAAGACTTGTCTTTAAGATTTCAAAATGAGCGAACAGTGACCCCTTTTCTCGTTCTTCACAATTCAGAAAGAACCGTCTCGCGACAGAAACGAACCCCTTAGCTAAAAAACGAACAAGACTTCTTGTACTCAACGAAAATACTTGGTTTAAGCAAGACGCAAAGCTGTTTTAGGACTTTTCAGAAGGTGGCAGTCGGTGTGTTGTTCGTTTGTAATTTCAGGTAACCCAAGCTGGACTTTTTTTTCTGATTACATTATTTTCCTTTTACACAGATAGTCGTTCAGATCAGAGACGAAGGCAACGGATGGATCGTTGGAAGAACGGGCTCGGTAGAAGGGGCCTTTCCAGCGACCTATGTTGAAAAAGTCACTAATAATGGTCCTGATTAGTGTTGATCAGTGTTAGAAGGGACCTAGCCGTGATGTGTTAGCAGCAAGATTCTTCTCAGGGTCCTCTTCCTCCCTCGCTCGAGTTCGGAAGAGAGGATTCTGGGAACTAGGCTGATTTATGGTATAGATAAAGTGCAAGCATCAAACAGTGGTCTTAAACTCAATTTACGTCGCCATAGAGTGAGTTTTTATCTCTTTCCATTTTAATTAACGGATGTGGACTGAAACTTGGATATTGAGACAGGGCCAAAATAGTAGCTTTACAGTAGTGAATAAATGAAAACTGAAGGAAAAAAAAAAAAGAAAAAGAAGCCTTTCTATGAGGGAAGGTTAAAATATTATTGTATCCAAGAAACCCTCCTACCTCAGAGTTTTTTCTCGGACTTAAAAGTGAGGTATTAATTAATCCACACGTATAACTTCTGCCCAAATTACACACCACTCAGTACAATTACCACAATATTATTATTTTTCCTAAACCACCTCAGGATTTGACGCAAATGCTTCTAAGCATTCTATGCTGCGAAATGAGCAGGGGTTAAGTAAATTGATTCCAAACTGTGTCTAAGCGCTCAAAATCGTGATAATGAAATAACTGCACAAACCACAAGTAAAATTTGAGTGGTTTGACTATTTGGGCCCACAACTTTATCTTAATGGTGTAGAATTGTGGTGAATTCTCCTCAGTTGTAAGGTCCCACATGGTGAATGAATTGAATATATTTATATTTTATTGTTATCGAATAAAATGTTTTCGAGGAGCACTCAGGTTGAATTGTCGTAGATGGTTCCACGTGCACGATTCAGAATCACGAAGACAAAATCAAAGACATTTGTTTGAGCTTGCACTATATGGGTTTGTTTGGTTCCTAGATTTGGTGGGTTCAAATTGAGTTCCAATAAGAATACCCCAGTGGTTTGTAATTTACAAACCATGCAGTGCAATGTAATGTAATGCAAAGGTGTCTTTTTATGCATAAACTTATGACAGTGAAACAGTATGATTATTCGCGGCACAGACTATCATAGCCATAACACTCGCTCCAAGGAAATTATTAGATGTTAGATCAAACACGAACTGGGGTCTACTCAGATCTTTTAATAGTGCATTGACAGACTGGAATTCCCTCCCAGAAGACATGAGATGTCTACCCTATGATGCTTTTAAAATTTCGTTTCTTAAATATTTTGAATCTTAATAGGCTCCGTTAGTGTGTCATCTCTTGCACATCGATTTTATTATTTTCTGTTCATGTCATATTTTAGATATTTCAAATTTCATATTTCCACCGTGAGTTTTTACTTTTTAATTACGCGATTACTTATCTTATACATTGTTAATTTTGAGGGCCTCACTGAAAACCGCAAAACTTGCTTATTTATTTTTTAATAAATAAATAAATAAATAAGCAAGTAGTCCCGCGAGAGGTGTGCAGGAGGTCTGAAACTCAGTGCCAGAACCCCCAGCAAATCTTGACCTTTCTAACCCAGCGGCAGTGTTGAAGATAGAAAAGGGGGTACTTGGGAAATCAGTGTAGTCCCAAAGCCCTCATGAAGGCGTGGGCCTTTCACACAACTCTAAGCTTAAAGAAAGCATCCCATTTGGATGGAGCATCTCTCTTTAAACCTACTCTAACCCTTTACCCCGTGGGCATATTCTCCATTTTTTTTTTTTGTACATTTCCAGTGGCACTGACAAGGAGAATTTTTTCAACAATCAGGAGTGAATTAAGCAGGCCACCATTTCATTCATGCATATGACGTAAATCTGTCACTCTAGATGGTTAAAGGATTTGGGAAAAGGGCCTGGGAACTACTCCTCTTGAGTGTTCAACAATTGCAGCAAAGCATGAAAAAAAAAACAGGAGAGGCAACACAAAAGAGATGTAAAAGTAAAACAAAGGACCACAAATGTAAGATTTCACCTTCAATGAATTAGTTTTTACATTTATTATTTATAATCAGTACAACAAAACATCTAAAGTAGGTAGGTGGTTCTTTCAGTTACGTGACAATCAATGAATCTATGACTACAAGAGTGAACTTGTACCTCACCTCATTAGTAAAAAACTACAAAAAGCAACTAGTTGCAAATTAAATCAACACAAGCCTAAAACAAAGTTTGCATGTAGGACTTATGCAAACATTTCATACTTTACAAACATGATTTACCAGAAGTCTAAACTATACATGTGTAATAACAATAACATTTATTATTTGTATTGCGCCTTTTCTATAAAATATTCAAAAGCGCATCACAACAGTAATTAATAACCAAAATGTGTGTCTAAGCATTGTATCACTAGACATTAGGTCATGAGACATTTACCAAAGAAAGTTCCTACTTACACTTTAACCTATTATTGCCACATAATGCAGCTTACCCTAGTACTGTAAGGTGAAACTAAAAATTTCATCTCTTCTTGGTCTGAAAAGGATAGAACCAAACTCCATTACACAAAAGGTATACACAACAATGACCCTTTAGGTTCCAAGATCTTAATATTAATTCTCCCCTTTAGCTGCCCCAAGTTTCCCTGCAAATAAGTTATGAGTATTTGGTGTGAGAGCAGGATTACAACTTCTGCCTGATAAGTTTGAGCACTCTCATTACCTGTTTGCAGAATAATGTTTGGATTTTATAGGGAGAAGTTACATGTGAATTATTTTGGGCAGTTAAAGGGTTAAGTTTGTACTTGAGCTTATTGGCCCAAGCAGCAGGAGCTTGTTCCTGTTTCAGTGCAGCCTGAAGCAGCCAGGAGGATCACTACTCTCCCTGGATGGGATGCTAGTCCATCACAAGGTTACCCCCCCCCCTGCATTTCATCAGGCTTCCCTGACAGTTTACCAGTACCCATTTGTGCACCAGGGGGGAGAGAGGTGCAATGTGAGAACACAACACATTGACCTAGCCAAGTCTAGCACCCAGACCTCTAGACCAAGAGTCCATTGCCCTGACCATTAAGTTAATGCATCTCTTACAATGGTATACATTAAAGTTATTTATCATACACCCACATGGCTCATTTGCCATTGGATGATTTCAGTGGAGTGGTCATTGGGCCTGTTATAAATTCAAAGGCATCCACCCAGGATGCATTATCATCAAAAGTTGCCAGCACTTCAGACATTTGCCCAATGGTGTTGATCCTCTAGTTACCTGTTGCTATTCTCCCAGACAGGTATGGAAAGTTGATTGTTGCACATTTTTTTAGGTCAAGCTAAACTGGTCTTAAAATTAGTTGTAAACCATAAAGGAGTGGGAAGAAGGAAGATTAAAGGGAATCTGTGGTGCTGTGATGGTGAGGGTATTACAAAATAGTTAGGTTTTATCAACTGGGTTGACTGCGTAAATTGGCTATCACAGAGAGATTCTTTAGCTGGTATTTTGAGTGTTAACTATTCATCAGAGTGCATGTCCAAGGGGCTAACACTCAAAACATCACCTTTAGAATCTCTTTACACAATATCTCAGTTAATAAATACAAAGTAGCCTGCAGCACAGACCTCTTATAAGGGCGAGTTAAAAGAAGCATGCAATTGTTTATTCAACCAGCCATGTCTAATTTGGAGTTTGAGTCGAAGGTAGGGGGAGGGGGCAGGAAGGGGCAAAAAGACTCCCCCCTCTCTACCATAACTTTCGCAAAGAAAATACTGTGCACTCGCCTGCCAAAATTACACCTACTTTGCAAGCTAAAAGCAGTGTATCTGGTGTTACCTACGTCTCAACCAAGAAGGCAAGAACCTTCCGATGCTGGCACCTTTCTATATTATTTTACATATTTGTTCAATCTTACCTCTTTTTACATTTAGTTTGAGGTCTTACATTAAATGCATTGCCATGGCTTCAACTACTTCAAAGTAGCTTTGATGCAACTCTTCAGACTCCTGCAAAGCCTTCTCTCGATTAGAGACAACCACTTCAATCTGGGCATTGTTTTTCATGCACACTGTGATCACATATGGGAGGCTAAGAATGAAAAAATAGAGCTTAATGCTTGGAAGAATTATCACATTTTTTAGGACTACTATGGCATCAAGGCATAAATTTTTTAGACTAAAGACTTCCATCAACTTGGATAAACTAATAATCCCCTGATTGATATTGTTCTTTATTTTCCTCACATGTACGCTTGATATTGTACCAAAATTGTAAGGAGAAATTCTATCATGGTCATTTATGAGAGTTCAAGGATTGACAAGGCATGACTGGCTGTGTTTGCTACCATAGCATGGTCAATGTAACTGCTTGCAGATAAGCATGTACACAATATGGATATATCAACAAAGTTGAAATGGTAAATTGGCCACTGTAACGATTACAAAAGCTGACGTTTCGAGCATTAGCCCTTCGTTAGTGCTCCGACGAAGGGCTAACGCTCAAAATGTCAGCTTTTGTAATCGTTACGGGGGCCAATTTACCATTTCAACTTTGTTGATATATCCAAATTATTTCGTTACTCCCACCGACGCAACCCCAAACAGTTTCTTTCGAAACTATCAGCCTTTATTCATGTACACATTACGGACTGACTGACTGAGTGAAGAGGCTGGTGGGGAAATTATTTGGCTTGAGGTCATGACATACAGACTGAGTGCAGAGAGGTCCCTGACTCACGACCGTGAGCCAAATATTTTCCCATCCGGCCAGACCAAACTCAGTCAATAACCAGGGCCAGCTGCTTCATATGATTTTATTATGTATTAATACAAGGAGCTGATTTATACACACATTTTAAATGGTTCTTACTCGTGATCTAATGGAGGAAAGAGACATGATGAAATCACCATTAACAGCATTTTTCTTCTCTACTAAATAAAAAAATGGATTCTATGTTGCCAGGGTTCTGTTTAGTATTAGATCACAGATAACCTTCAGATGTGGTAAGAACAAATAGGTAGCACAGCTGACTGTGTCAATGATGGTCTCACCTAATTTTGACATCCTCTGTGATTTATAATGGTACAAAGCAACCACAACAGAATCTACTTGCTTTAAATGATAGCAAAGCAATTGAAAATGGTGACATCATTCATGTATCTGTCCTCCAATAGGCCATAAGTGAGAGCCAATCAAAATTATAACACAACCAAAGTAAAGTGCACTCTCTGATTGGTAAATTCAGTGTCTACCATTTGCCCAAGAGTTCTAATTTAGGGCTCGACACTAATTTTTCAACTTACTAGCCAAGTAGCTAGTGACATCTTAGATGTTTTTAGATGTTCCGACAATTTCAGTCTGTTTGCTAGCCAAACTGGCTAGTGGAAATTGAAAACCACTAGCCAAAACTGAATTTCTACCAGTCTGTGGCTAGTGGGCCACCGTTAGTGTTGAGCCCTGTAATTGGTTCTCACTTGGTCCTCTGGCCAATAATATTATTCCCTAGTGCGACCCTTGCACTTGGTTGGTAAGAGGTCATTATTAACATTGATGGGAAGAATGTTAACAATACCACCTGAAAAACAAGTTTTAATGGGATCAAGCTTCTGTTTACTCTATATACCTCATGAGATGGGTAGCAGCAGTGATAGACAGCTTGCCTTCCTTATCACAGTACTTGTTGTAAAAGTCCTGCTCCTGTTGGGTTTTAGGTGGAGCTCTTTTCAAAATATCTTTGTTTCTGGCAATTTTAGTAACCCAGTAGTTGCTCAGTGCTTGGAGGGCCTGTGATTCATCATTGCTAACTTCATCTGCGAAAAAAATTGTAAGCAGTCCACCATTCAACTCCCATATTCTGACCTGATCAGAAATTCTCCCCACTAAATGCTATAAAATTAATGTCCTTGTAAATTAGACAAAAGAATTTGGTGTTCATCAAACTAACACCCTTCCACTGACTATCTTGTCTTTTGTCATCACCTGTTTGAAGGATACCTTGCTGGGATTTTGGGAAGAAGTTGAATGTTAATCAATTCTGGGAGTGAAAAGGATTAATACTAACACAAATGATCATTTCTCTCTCTCTCTCTAAGGGTAGAGTTTCATGAGTTATAGCACACATACTGTAAAGGGGCACCCCTTCTCTGTTGAAGATGGTATGTTAATGAGACATAACTAAAAAGTTAAAACAGCTTTACATAAACAGCCCAATGACACTGCAGCAAATGGATTGCACCTTTGCAGAAAGCACATTTTTACTTATATTTATTGACACATCCACTCTCACAAGCTAATTTAGGACTAACCTCCCAAAAAGTCAAACAAATACATGTTTTTCTTGGGTTTATCTGTGTGACAAAACCATACTGTAAGTCAATGATATCATCAAAATAAAGTCTTACTAGATGCCATACCCAAACACTTATAATAAACCGGCATCAACCATCTCTTTGGCACAGTGCCTTCAATCAGACAGAGTTGCACTGTGTAATTACACCATTAATACACAACATGTAATGTAGATATGAAATTATACTTTAAAAACCTTTCTTGGTGTTCAAAATATTCATCTTATTTTCAATTGAAGTCTTTCGTTGCTCATCTGAGGGTGAAGAAACAATTGAATAAGCATGTGTCATCAGCAACACTACCCAAAAAGTAATGAATCTACTTATGACAGTGGTAAAATAATGTCACCAATTTTATCAAGAAAAAGGCTTATGAAATGTAATTTGGCTGAAATGCCTAACACCCTGTGTTTTTCCTCTACATCTCTTGAGGTCCATAGAATTGTGGCATTATCTCGACACAAGTCCTGAGCCACAGAAAATCACAGTCTTCTTGGCCAGTCTTTCAGACTACTTCTTCCAATGAAACTAAACAAGCTTAATAGATATATTTTATACTACTCTGTACAATATGAATTTGTGTGCAATTTTCTCTAAAAGCCCATGAGTGAGCAAGTCTCAAACAAAGGAGTCTTGATGGCATTCAGCTGTCAACATAAAACAGTTCTGACCAGCCAGGTGTCTTTACTACGCTATTATGGTGCTAGCCACTCTCTGATTAATGGGAAAACAAATACAGGAAAAATGGAGTTGAAAAAAGGTAAATAAAAATGTTAGGGTGTACAGGGTGTGCATAACCATTTTATAACTAATCTTAGTAATAAACAATAAAATACAATAAAAATGATAAGTTAAATTCTAGTCACACCTGAGCAGGACTTCTCTGTCTTCAGTATATTCTCCGCTTGCTCATCCTGTGGCTTTACACTCAGCGATTCAGGACCAGTATCCTTGTGAGAGGAGGGCAGCACCTCAACCTAAGAAGAAATCACCAATAATCATGATCACACTTTTGTCCAATGGCTGAAGCATGTCTTGTATCAAGTTCTTCTGAACCTTTGTTTCATTTTAGCAAGAGAACAAGAATCATACCAAACACTGATCTTACACATCGACCTTACCTTACTTGAAGCTGCTTGCATGGTACCATGATCTTTTCCACAGCTGGAGCCTTTCTCAGAAAGTTCACCCATAACATTTTCATCAGAGTCAGATGAAAAGGGACTGGTTCTTTCTCTAAGTTTCTTCCCTTTTGGGGGCGTCTTTGGTTTAGAAAATGCAGCCTTCAGCTCCTCCTCATCATTACTACTACTGCCATCACCACTGCTGGTGCTATAGGCATCTTTCTGCTCACAAAAATTGTCCAAAACAAATGATATCAAAGATTATCAAGCATGCTTATTGAGCTGTATTTGCAGCATAAGTTTCTATTCTCTGCCTGTGTGAGTTTCGCAGCTGTACATGCTTAGCTATTTGGACTAATTCCAACTACAACTTAAGGAGTATTTCCCATTTACCAAGTACAGGCATAACAGTTAATGTTGTTCCCTGGATTTTTTGCACTTATGTTAATATGCCTTACAGTTCTTTAAGAGTTATAATTAAACAACACACATGCAGATTGTATGAATTTCAATTTAATGTCACCTGTGTGCTGCGTTTCCTTTTGACAAAATCACTCCTTCGCATGGCTAGAGATATCTGAGGGAAAACAAAATGCATTTTATTATTTTAAGTTTTAAGGTCTACCAGAAAACAGATGTCTTTTGAAAATGGCCTTGGAGATGCTAGCCTGTGTATAATGACAGATTAAAAAACATTTACAAAATAACAAAAACATGACCACACTAAAGTTCATTGTTACAATAGATTAAGCCGAGTTGTTTCAATTTAGAGAAAATGACTGTAACATCAACTTACCAATTTTGTCTCATATACTGTAGTACCAAGTTTTCTTTTGTTGGGATAATTTACGAGGGTAATTAGTATGTGTAATCAAATGGCGACGAGAGAAATTAAGAAATAATTTTATGCGCGTTTTGTTAAAATTCTGATATCGTGGGTGACAAATTATGTCTTGTTTACACACATAGGCGTAAAATCGCTCGAGTACTTTGTCCAACTGCTTGGGAAGAATCATCTCCAGGTTTTTCTCAAGGCTATTTTCATCACACCCCTTCTCAAAAACTCACACCCAGTTAATTGTGCTCTTTCGCGTATTTAAATTTTCGGCCGCTTCTTTTAATTTCATAACTTCTTGAAGGGTCACTGTCTTAAATTTCAACAACATCTTAGCTCTGATCGAGATACAAGAGATGTTACCATGGCAATTTTATAATTTCACATGTGAAATTAAAATTAACGCTGAAATTTTGCGCCAACATTAAGGAGTAATTTGTCACCTATGATATTAACCCTTTAACTCCCAGAAGTGATTAACATGTAACTTCTCCCTATATCATCCATGCATTATCCACCAGATGGGTCATGAGAACACTGAAACTTATCAGGTAGATCTTGTTACCTTGATCTAATACCAAATTCTCATGACTAATTAACAAAGAGATGTGTAACAGCTAAAGGGGAGAATTTACAATGAGATCTTATAAGTTATAAGGTTAAGGGTTTTCAGCCAAGCTGTAGTAGGAGTCATTTTCAGAATCACTGCTCTGTGCAATTCAGTGAAATGTGAACTGATGGAAACAAAACCAGAGTACCCACCCTCCGGCTTACTGCCTGTAAGTTCCCTGCTTTTACAAACTGAATTATTTGACTTGTAGCTCTCAGATGGCTTGAGAACTGGCATTGAAATTGGTTCTGGATAACAAGGCTCGGAGTTGTTAGGAAAAAAACTCTGTTTTGATTCCTCTAACCATAATTCTGTCAAACATGTGGCTAATAGCTAATGATTTCACTTTAAAATTTCACAGGATTGAAATTCCTCTCACAACTCCAACTTTATATGATTGCAACTCCCCTTCTGTGGCTAGTAAGAATGAACCAGCCCATTAAGAAAAAAAAAAAGGTTAAATACATACATGTAGAGAGGGTTTATCCAGCTGTATGTAGCACATGATAAAGACCAGAATTAAGATGTGATTTGTGAATTTAACAGAAAGGCAAGGGTGACCCATGAATTTATGAACCAGTATGATGTATGATTTGCCTCCTGAATAAGAAAGTGACCCATGCATTTTTTTCTTTCAGTTTGTTTAACCTCAAAATTTCCTTGAAACCTTGTGCAGAAAAAGAGAGATTTTAAGTTTTCCCTTTTATCTTGATGCACAAGTTTGTCTGAGGTTTGTGCGTGTAAAGGCATCAGGACCCTCTTTCCCCTCCTGTGGATTCTTGGCTCTGGAAATGGTCAAATTAGGTTATTTATTTCTATCAACATATAAAATCAATAGCATAGTAGGCTATTTTTTTCTCTGTAATGAATTCAAGGGAACAACTTACTAGCCAACAATTGTACTTGGCGATGCCTTGCCACAGTTTTTAAGGTCAGTATGAAGAGTTTCTTAACGAATGGCTGCAATTTTTAAAGCCACTTCTCAAGATACCTCGAGTCTTAACCTCAAGCCAACACCAATATCTGGTGATAACCATTTCTCATTCTCTGATGGCTGCCTACCCAATTTCACTTGGTTTTCCGCCTCTTTACCGTAATAATCACTTACGGTGGATGGAAATGTTTTCTGAGTATGTTCGTGGGTTCTCTTGTACATATCAAATCTACTTTCAGTGATGCTGCGTGTCGCTTCGTTTATATTAACTACGTATATCTGAAATTAATGTTCGGAGATTGTTCGATCTTAAGACACCAGCAGTGGTGATCAATTTAATAAAGATTACCAACTACAAATGAAGACACAAGGAAGGTTACCGGTAAAAAAGAAAAGCATAGTAAGATTTGGATATATCAACAAAGTTGAAGTGGTAAATTGGCCACCGTGACGATTACAAAAGCTGACGTTTCGAGCATTAGCCCTTCGTCGGAGCGAAAGACGAAGGGCAAACGCTCGAAACGTCAACTTTTATAATCGTAACGGTGGCCAATTTACCATTTCAACTTTGTTGATATATCCAAATTATTTCGTTACCCCCACCGACGCAGCACCAAACAGTTTCTTTCGAAACTATCAGCCTTTATTCATAGTAAGATTTGACCGTGTAATACAGCACGACCGCTAACTTTTAACCTCTTCGAAGGAACACCTGGGGTATTTGATAACGCCATAATAGGGAACTTTGCGATCGTCTTGCATTGTACGCTTAGATAAAAGTTTCCTTACATACTGAAACCTACCCCACTAAAAATGGCTATCGCTAGGTTTCACCCCTTCTGAATTTAGAAGCTTAGAAAAGAGGAATCTTCAGGTGAACATTACCGTTTTAGCTAAGTATTTCTGTTAATTCGTTCCGCGAAACTCCGACAGCTCGTCAAAATCACTCCGCGTGGTACACTGTCTTCGGACAAAGTAACGTCGGATCGATAGTTTTAACAGGAACAGTTTGTGTTCCTTGCTATCAGTCGATGATAGCGAGTTAGACATGTACAGGCACAAGACAGAAATTATTCAGCGATGTGCGTAAGATGGGATTATAGCTTACCTCCAGTGCGTGAGCTGGCATTCAGTCCAAGACGGATAGGAAGTTTCTAAATTGAGGGACTGTGAGTCGACACTCACACTTGCAAATCTTCTCTACTTGCGAAGAAAACAACCGTTCATATCATGTTTCACCAGAGAGTGGGAATTTACACGGTGTTTGGTCCAGCCATCTGTAGCCAACTCCAGTTCCCAAGAGGAAGAGAGGAAACTGACGTCATGAGACTTACTCGTTTTGATTGGAGCTTCGAAATCACGAAAACTTTCTCTTTTTACAGACTGGCAGCAATGTTCTGACGATTTCCAGAACGAACTGAGTGGGAACTAGTTAGAGGTCCCTTATAACCCGTTGTAAAACTCATTCACGTAAAAATATTTGGCCTCTTCACCCATCACGTATAATATTCGAATATTTGACACGTTCTCGTAAAATTTTACTTTTTCTGGTCTTCTTCTAGTCAAGGGGTCATGACATCTTGCGTGACAGCCGTTCAATCTCATTGCATTTTTGTCATTTTTAGCCCAAACCCTCTTCAAGCTGGACGCATGCCTTTTTTTTTTTTGACCAGCTGCGGAGAAACATTGTTCCCAGGGTCCAATTGGAAGGATGAAGAGAGGGAACTGAGTGATCTTGAACTTTCACCTTTTACCGAGAAAAGCAATTTTGTTATCAGGTGTCGCCTTCGGCGACCCGTAGAAGACATGCCACATTTTCGCACGTTACATGGAAATTATCGTGCGATAAATAATAAATCATCGCGCGATAAATGATAAATTATCGCGCGATAATTTATTTATGAATAGGAAACTTGTTTGGTCACGTAATCGGCTGTCACGCACGTTGTTTCCGTGGACAACAAAGGACAATTTTTAAGAAAAATTTTGGAAATTTTTTAAATATAAACTAGTGAGTAGCACTTCTGCGAACAGCAGTTGTAAAACTTCTTTATTCTCCGACGTTTTTCGTCTAACTGTGGTAGATTTCTTCAGGGAGTTTCACAGGTAGAACTAGACGCCTGCATTTATAAGCCAAATCTTGCAAAATCTTGGCTAAATACGGGTGCCAATGACCATAGAGGCTTGGCCTGACTCACGAAAAGGAACAGGCGAAGTTGTGAAAATTTTAAAACGTGTAAGGCAAGGTGAAAAAACTATTTTTGGGGCCACGGTTTTATCTAAAACCGTGGCCCCCGTGTCAACGTCTACGACAGACGAAACGCGTCGGAGAATAAAAACGTTTTTCAACTACTGTTCGCAGAAGTGCTGCTCACTAGTTTATATT